GGGCCATTAACTCTAGGTTTTCATCTTATCAATCTTTGAATACCGATAAAAATGTTTTTTTTTTCCTAGCAAAAATAATATTTTTCACTTTTGATTAATAGATTTTTGTCTGCGATATGAAGTATTTGCTTAATGAATATCAATATTTTATTATAAATTAAAAACAAAAACTATAATCGGAGTCAAATTATATGTAACTGCATATTGAATTGTTAGATCATTCAAAGAAACTTGATTTATAACTTTTTATGTAGAATAGAAATTAACTGAAGCATTGTCATAAATGATTAATAGCCTATGTCAGATTTGAAAATATAAATTATCTTTTAAAAATAAACATGAGCAATATAACTTTTATAAAATATTTATATTATACAATTTAACTTTTATAAAAGAATATTAATTAAAACTTATATATTCTCTACAGAGCTAGACTTAGACTTTTTATAGCTCTAAGCTGTAACATATAATAAGCCCTTCGCTTTCATCAAATAATAAAATATGTGAGTAGTAGCTTAACTAAGATTTTGCTCTGGGTAGTCTGGGAGGATGATCTAAACAATATAATCAGAATAAAGGAAACTTAAGCGTCCCTTGTTTGTGAAGAATCCAACACCTACACTATTCCCCATAAGTACTAACGTCTATAGCTTAGGACCCCATAGCATGTGAGATCCTAAGCTATAGACCCTAACGCGAGACCCTAAGCTATTAAGTATTANTATATATATATATATAAACAGATTAAAGGTGAAATATTTATGCCAAACATAAAAAATTAATTTTTTACAATATTTCATTTTTCTCTTCACCTGCTGAGATCATCAATCATGTAACTAGTTATCTTGACAAAAAAGGACTCACGAATATTCTTAGGAAATAATATTATCATATTTAATTTAGATATTCAATGAAAATTATAGCGTTATAAACTTCATTAAAATCTCATGAATTACAGCGCATTACATTTATATCATCGCAGAAATGAAAAGGTGCAGATTTAATTAAACAAATAACGATTTCGATCTTGATTTTCGCAGTTTTATGCAAATGATCAAATTTCAACATTTTAACCTTTGTTTATGTTATACAGAAGCGTAGGTGTTTTATGGAAAATTAGTTGATTCTTATTGGAATCATGCATACTTTCTGCATATGAAATTATCATTTGTAAACTTCATATCATTTCTACGCATCTTGCTTTCATAAAGACGACTTAATTTATACAAGAATTAAACAATAATAAATATGCATTTTGTTTTTAGGGAAAAAACATTTTAATTAAATATTCTTTGAATTGTTATAGAATTAATTTATAAAATTTAAGCCTGAAACACNCAATATTTTATTATAAATTAAAAACAAAAACTATAATCGGAGTCAAATTATATGTAACTGCATATTGAATTGTTAGATCATTCAAAGAAACTTGATTTATAACTTTTTATGTAGAATAGAAATTAACTGAAGCATTGTCATAAATGATTAATAGCCTATGTCAGATTTGAAAATATAAATTATCTTTTAAAAATAAACATGAGCAATATAACTTTTATAAAATATTTATATTATACAATTTAACTTTTATAAAAGAATATTAATTAAAACTTATATATTCTCTACAGAGCCAGACTTAGACTTTTTATAGCTCTAAGCTGTAACATATAATAAGCCCTTCGCTTTCATCAAATAATAAAATATGTGAGTAGTAGCTTAACTAAGATTTTGCTCTGGGTAGTCTGGGAGGATGATCTAAACAATATAATCAGAATAAAGGAAACTTAAGCGTCCCTTGTTTGTGAAGAATCCAACACCTACACTATTCCCCATAAGTACTAACGTCTATAGCTTAGGACCCCATAGCATGTGAGATCCTAAGCTATAGACCCTAACGCGAGACCCTAAGCTATTAAGTATTACTATGAAGTATTTCTAAAATAAATTCTAAATAATTTTTTTATTTTTAAATATACAGCTGTTCGATAAGGTTACATA